GTTTGAGGGTTGTGTGTGTGTTTCTGCCTGTTTGTGTGTGCTGTCATTAGGCCACTGGGATACATTATTCACAAAACTCTGCCAGAAATAATTTGCAAGAGAGAAGGAAGTACAAAATGATTTTGTGCAAGGAGAGCATTGCTTATGCTGGTCATATATCGCACCCATTTATCACTGTAGATCCTCTAAATGTGTAATTATGATTTAATACAAATATGCATGAAAGGCAACTGGCATAGTGCTTGGCAATTTCAATCAAGCTGATTCCTATACACAATGCAGCTGTTTCTTATCTGGAAAAACATATTTAAAAGGGATACATTATATGACTGTCACCTGCAAAAAGTGCTTGAAGACGTGTGTGTTTTTTGTTAATTTATCTATACAGATCGATATTGGAGATTTAATTGTTCATTTCCTCAATTTTTACATTTAGATTGTTTTTGCTGTCATCTAGCGCTTACGCAAACTTTAAAAACACTAACAACACTGTTAAAAGTTAAGTAAATGGCAAAAATGAATATACAGTTTTCATACTGTACTGTGCATTATAATGTTGTGACAATTCACTGCTGCATTTAAAATGATTAATTTTTGTTTTTAGTGCTAAATATTACATTTATTTATATTTATACAAAATAATAGAACTTTAATAATGGCCATTTATCAGCCATGATATAACATGAAAATAATTAACAGCTTACTGTTATTATTTCTTATTGAGTTTTTAATCAGTACAAAGTTGGATGAAAAACAAAGTAAGTTAAGTTTCTACAATCTGCAGTTTACCTTTAAGGAATAGTTCACCCAAAAACAAAAAATTTGCTGAACATTCACTCCCCCTTAGGCCTGTAGCAGTGTAGCAGTACATTATGTGCTCACAATGGATCCTCTGCAGTGAATGAGTGCCGTCAGAATGAGATGTCAGACAGCTGATAAAAACACCACAAGAATCCACAAGTAATCCATATGACTCCAGTCCATCATTAATGTATTGTGAAGCAAAAAGCTGAATGTTTGTAATAAATAAACCACTGTTACTAGATCAAATAGAGTCCTCTATCAGTAATTTTGCTTTCTTCTGTAAAAAAGTTGCCTTGTCTGAATCAGGAGAGAAATATGCACAGATCAAGCGCCGTCTGCAATCGAAAAGAGTCAAAAACAGACCTAAACAAATATGTCAGCGTTATTATGGATTATGTACTCACATATTGGCCAGAAGCAGTGATCAATTAATGATGTTTTTGTTTTTTTACAAACATGCAGCTTTTTGCTTCACAAGTCATTAAGTGATGGACTGGAGTCGGGTTGTGGATTATTGTGATGTTTTTACCAGCTGTTTGGACTCTCATTCTGACGGCACCCATTCACTTCAGAGGATCCATTGGTGACCAAGTTATGTAATCCTAAATTTCTCCAAATCTTTTCCAAAGAAAAACAAACTCATAGGATGGCCTGAGGGTGAGTACATTTTCTGAAAATGTTCATTTTTGGGTGAACTATTCCTTTAAACCAAATTACCAATCAAAGACATAATAGTCGAAGAAACCCCAAATGCAATCCAGGGCTTGTAGATTGACCCTGTTAAGTCCACTTTTGCCAAATGATGCTAGTTATCTTTTTAAGCCCCTGAAACACTCCATACAATGATGCAAGACCTTGAGATACACAAAAACACAGCCAAGCCTCTCCTAAAGGATATCTGATAACAATAGGCACTCCATCACGCTGTAACCTCCACAGAACACACAATTCTTCAATGTCTGCCTAAAACAACACGCTTGCCAACTTACCTACAATTCTCAGCAGATGACAAGCATTCTGTTGATTAACCAAATCCTGCACATTTCTACTGGCATGTGCTGAATGACAGCTGAAATAACAGAGGAAACACTTGGCTTATCACCGCTAATTAACACACTATACAAGATAACACCAATGGCAGTGTCAGAAATGTTGAATGGTAATTTAAAATGAAATGGTTTTGCATTATAACACAATGCAATGGGGGCTAAAAAACACAAGTTGCCTTTTAAGATAGCACAAGCTCTCCTTCTGCTTGTGTGTTTGGTGCTGTTGTCAAGAGTACTATTGTAGATTTACCAATAAGATGCAATCTAGGGTATTTACAAAGCACACAAACATATACATTTTACTTAACAGTGGCTCTTAAGCACTAAAATTTCAGCCTAATAAAAGATGCCATTAGGATATAGACTTGAAAGTAAATCAAAAACATGTCTCATGGGTTTATTCTGTGCATATGAGTAAAAAATACATCCCAGTATTCAGGTGTTCAAAATATAACCATATTCCTATAACCATACCCAAATATATCTGTGCTGATTTAAAGAGAAAATGTGTAGAATGTATTTATACAGTGAGAAAAACAGATACAAGTTCTACACTCTTATTGGTAGCTGTAAATATAAGATTAGTCACAAAATAATTAAAAACTAACATTCAAGAGGCTGAGGATGGGTAGAACTTTGTGAAATACAGGCATTCCAATTTATATTACTATATGCTCCGCCTCACCTTGGTGCTAACTCAGGCAAGTGTTACAGAACGTCCAATAGGATTGCACTGGAGATATTAAGGAACAGCCTGATTTCAATAAAACATGCTTATAATGTCTGATGATTGGATATCATTCTTAACATCACAATGCAGGTTATCTTGTTAAATTAAGAAGAAACTTGACTAAAAACTTCAAATCAGAATCAATGTAAACACTTCAACTGAAAGAAAAAGTCTCATTTAAAAGTATTACTACTGACACTACAATTCAACCCTGCTGCTACACAGTAAATTTTATTATTAACACAAAGTTTATCACAAAGCACAGAGAACCTGACAGACAGCCATTACAGGGCATTAGAGATGAACAGTATTCTACTAATATATGTTAGTGCAGCAAAGGAATATAGGGCTGTAAACAGATAGTGATATCAGGAACTGTATATTATATGTATTCATTACAAATGCCACCCACTGTACAAACCTCAAAGCTAACAGACATCTGGAGTGATCAGCATGTTTTCCCCTAAGGCAGATGTCTCAAAAAAAAGATCATCTTCTCACAGCCACGCTGCCTTTTAGAAAATGCCACTTAAATCATACAAGTATAATTTGCAGCAGGATATTAAATCTACGAGCTCAAAGAGCCCGGAAAAATGAGTTTGTGGGCAGTGGCTGTGTTTTCCTCTGACAGTGATCTCTGAACTCCAAGAGGATTGGTTTATTTTTTCAAGCAAATTCCTCATATTTGCATCCTTCATGTTTTGATCAATGAGAAATTAGAAAGTGGAAATGGAAATAGTAAAAGTGGTGTTCGGAAGGAATCTGTGGAGTGGATGTGTCTCTGGCGCCCAACTCATTTGCATTACACTATACTCGATTTCCATGAATACACAGCATATATAAAACGAGAGATGAAAGTATGAATCTAATATTAAAGATGTCACTTTTCATGACTAGAGAGATTGAATCTTTCTGTTTTGCCCATTTTTTAAATCGATTTTCAGTATCAATGCACCATGATGCATTTCTGACCAATATATATATATATATATAAGATCAATATAAATAGTTTCTTTTGAACACTAACCTTTGGAACAAAGAAAGATCTATATTTTTTCCCCTCATGGCTCACATAACCCTAAACCCATTGGATTTACTTGTTACGTTTCCAACAGCAACTCATTTAATGGTTTATGGTGTCAGAACTACTATGTATAACTGAAAATAAATGAAGAGTGAATTAATCTGGCATGTTCAAAGATGCATATCATTCGATAGCTGTAACAATAACATTGCAGTTTCTCGTTCGTTGTAGCCACATGATAACATCCTCGTGTAGGACTTTGAAATTTAAACAACAATCAGATGCAGTCTTTTCAGGCTGAAAGTCTGAGTTGCCTGTTAATAGTGGAAATCTTTATTTAAGCAAAGGGCAGTCCCTTTGCTTTAAACATGCTCATTAGATATCAACATGAGAATAGAGTATCGAATAATGTATGCTGTGTATGTCCACACAGCTGTTAAATAAAACAACATCCACTCTGATTCGACCTGCTCTGAGTTCTATGATCAATAATTAACCTATGCACAACATGCCTCTTATAGAGTCTGCACTCATAATAGAATCTGATGTATGGACAACCTGCATATTTCTTGTCTGTAAAGCTTTTAGTATGTATCCTGTAAAAGCACTCCATGGCACTCACAGCGTAATTAAAGAGCCAAAGGCAAGACAAAGGCACTATTCCATCTTGTGACCATAAATGAACCATTTACTGCAGCATTCTTGCATCAATAATTTTTGGGTCTTATATGCCCTGATTATTATTTAGGGGACAAATCCCTCTGATTACCTGGTTAAATAAAGGTTAAATGATTGTATACTCAACACTTTATATATATATATATATATATATATATATATATATAT